AGCGCCGCACTGTCGGAGGGTCAGCGCCGAGGGAGCGCCGCACTGTCGGAGGGTCAGCGCCGAGGGAGCGCCGCACTGTCGGAGGGTCAGCGCCGAGGGAGCGCCGCACTGTCGGAGGGTCAGCGCCGAGGGAGCGCCGCACTGTCATTGCAACCTGTGCCCTCTGACTCCGTTAAGATTTCTTACACTCCAAAGGCTCTATTTTGACTGAGTGAGACAAATATCTTTGCTGGCCAAATTCTCACTCACCTGGCGCCAGATAAGCAGCCTTTCTGGTCATTATCACACTGTCAGTTTGGGATCTTGATTTGTGCACATTCTACATATCTTGCAGCTTCACGTCAGCAAGGAAATTTTGCTTTGTGTAAATAGCTAATTTTATTCTGTCCTGTTATCATTTTTTTTATCTTCAGGTTTTGTAATGCTGATTGGCTGGGGAGGTGGTGACTATCTGGGAATGAGCTGAGGTATTGGATGGTTTAAAATATGCAAAACTGAGCTCATGTTTTGGGTGGAGATTGTTGAAAAGTGTTATGTTTGGTAAGTGTAATGTTGTCTGGGTCCTGCTGGTGACTTTGTTGTGTTGGTTCCTACGGTGATGATCTCTCCATCAGTGGGACTTCAAATCATGTTTTGATCTGTTGTCAACTCAGAAATAGAGGTTGATTAACTTCCACCAAGCACTGGCCCTGTGTATCCCACGCTATCTGACCTGCATTGGGTCCTGTTCAAGCAGCAGCTTGTTCTAAAAATTTTCATCCGCCTTTGTGAACTCATCCGTGGCTTTGCCCTCATCATCTGTTGATTTCCCTCAGCACCGCACAGCTCCAAGATCTCTGCTCCTCCAGTTTTGGCCTCATTTTGGAACGTCCTGAGTTTAGTCCCTCCGTGATTGGTTGCTGTGCTTTCAGCTACCTGCACCCTGAGCTCCGTAACTTTCTCCTTAAATCCCTCAGCATCATTCTGTTCCTTTTTAAGATGCTTCTTAAAACTGACTTTGATCACAGTTTTGATCTGCTATCTCTTTGTGGCTCAGTGTCATACTTGTATTTTATAATGCTCATATGAAGCTCCTTGTGACGTTTTGGGGCAGTAACTGAAGGTAGATGTAAGTTGTTGCTGATTACTGGGAATAGTTTAAAACTCTGTACTCATGTGCCAAGTTGCAAGACACCTTGGTTTTATTACATCCAGCAACTTGTGTGTTAATGCTTTTAATGCTCATTGCTTTGTCCTTTGTATCCAGACCCTGATTCCAGTTTACTCCCACAGTTTCTGTTACAAACATGTAAAGAAATGAAAGATGAGCCAGTATAAAGCGAATCATATGAACCTTCATATTTTTATATCCACTAACTCTCCTTCATGTTCTTTTTGTAGACAGGGTTATTAAGGGATTTAGAATGCTTACCTTTGCTCAGATCTTTGAGTATAGGAGTTAGGATGTCATGTTGAGGTTGTACAGGAAGTTGGTGAGGCCTGTTCTGGAATACTGTGCCCAGTTATGGGAAGGGTATTATTAAGCTAGAGAGATTTCAGAAAAGATTTACCAGGATGGTGCCTGGAATGGAGGATTTGAGGTTGTTAACTTGCTTGCTGAGCTGACTTGTTTTTGTTCAGACGTTTTGTCATCATGCTAGGTGACATCATCAGTGAAGCCTCCGATGAAGTGATGTTATTCTACTCCGCTTGGAATTTTCACTGTCAGGTCCGTTATGGTGAGTACTGTCATTTCCGGTTTTGATCTGTATGGGTTTGTATTTGGGGTCTAATTCTATATGTTTGTTGATTGAAGTGTGGGTGGAGAACCATGCCTCTAGGAATTCCTGTGCGTGTCTACATTTGGCTTCTATGGACTGCCTAAAGTACATAAACCAGACATTCCCCTCAGACCCATTGTCTCCCTACCAGGCACACCTTCACACAAACTGGCCAAGGACCTACAACAGAGACTGAAACACCTGGTCGACGGATCACCTCATTCTATCCACTCAACCCGAGATTTCCTTGATACCCTCGAGAACATAAAAATCAGCGACAACGAGATTATTGGTAACCTTTGACGTCACAGCTTTATTCACATCAATTGACATCCCACTAGCCAAAGAAACAGTGGCCACATTACTAGAGGAAACAGCTACGCAGACCAGCAACTCCATCAGCAAGGACAACGTACTTAAATTACTAGACCTCTGCCTCACCACACTTTGTCTTTATTGGTCGAATATACAAACAGATTGACAATACGCCAATGGGGTGACCCATCTCAGGACTCATCGCAGAAGCAGTCATGCAAAGACTAGAACACGCCACCCTCCCCTCACATTCAACCAAACTGTGGACCCAGTACGTAGACAACACATTTGTCATTATTAAATGCAACAAATTAGAAGAGACCCACCACCTCATCAACAGGTATTCGCAGGGATTAAATTCACAAGGGAAGAAACCAACAATCAGCTTCTGTTTCTGGATGTTAAGGTAGAACGACTGACAAATGGGCAGTTTCAACCCTCAGTATACAGAAAAGCAACCCATACGGATCAAATCCTCAACTTCCACAGCAACCACCCCAACGTCCACAAACAAAGCTGCATTAGGACACTATTTAATCGGGCCTGGACACACTGCAACACTCCAGAACTACGCCAGGATGAAGAAAAACACTTACACAAGATCCTCGTCTTAAACAGATATCCCTGCAACTTCATCCACAGATGCCTACTAAACAGACAACAACAGGAGGACAAAGTACGCCATAACATACTGGCCACACAGCCCTACATCAGGAACATGTTGAAACTGACAACAAAACTCCTAAGACCATTAGGAATCATGGTGGCCCACGAGCCCACGGCCACTCTATGACAAACACTTAGAAAGATTAAAGACCCATTCCCAAACATGCCGAATGAATGTGGTTTACAAAATACCGTGCAACGACTGCCACGAACATTACATCGGACAGACAGGAAGGAAACTAGCCATCAGAATACACTAACATCAGCTGGCAGCAAAACGGCACGACAAACTCTCCTTAATATCTGTACATTCAGACAATGAAGGCCATCAGTTTAACTGGGACAAAGTAACCATAGTAGCCCAAGCCAAACATAGACACGCACGGGAATTCCTAGAGGCATGGTTCTCCACCCATACTTCAATCAACAAACGCACAAAATTGGACCCCATATACAAACCCACACAGATCAAAACCGGAAATGACACTACTCACCATAACGGACCGGACAGTATAAATTCCAAGTGGAGTAGAACAACATCGCTTCGTCGGAGGCTCCACTGATGATGTCACCTAGCATAGTGATGAAGCATCTGAATGAGAACAAGCCAGCTCGGCGACCAAGTCAACAACCTCACCCACAACCCGGGCTACAGATCTTTGCCAATACTTTAAACAGTAGAGGGCTTAAATTATAAGGAGAGGCTGGATTTGCTGGGACTTTTTTCACTGGAATTTAGGAGGTTGCGGGATGACCTTATAAAGGTTTATAAAATCATGAGGGGCTTTGGTAAGGTGAATGGCAGGTGTTTTTTTCCCTAGGGTGCGGGATTTCAAGACCAAGTGGCATGTTTTTAAGGTGAGAGGAATAAGATTTAAAAATGACATGAGGAGCAACCATTTTTACACAGAGGGTTTTGTGGAATAAACTTCGGAGGAAGTCGTGGATGTGGATACAGTTACACAGTTTAAAAGTCATTTGGATAAGTTCATGAATAAGAAATGTTTGGAGGGGTATGGGCCAAGTGCAGGCAGGTGAGACCAGTTTAAGATTATGGTCAGCATGAACTCGTTGGACCAAAGGTTCTGTTTCCGTGCTGTGTGACTCTATGTACTTCCTCTTGCCTTGCAAGTCTGACTTGAATCCTACAGGTTGTGCCGAAACTGTGCCAACAAACTGGCACATAAGATGCTGGAAGCTTCAAGTAACTGGGTCAAGTCAGAAAATTTGGAGCATTTTCTCCCACAAGGAAACATGATAAATGTGATGAGAGGCTGTGTTTGGAGGATATTAGCCCATGATGGACTGAATGATATGTAGTATTTATGGACAGAGAAACTGTGATAATGTTTCAAGTTGGAACAACTTTTTAATTTGAACGCTTTTTCTGGATTTTCCAAAGAGGAAAAGTTGTTTCTGTGAAATGTACGTGAGGTCTGCTATCCAATAAATTGGATTCCAGTAAATGCTCAGTGATTCACGCATTGGTCAGCAGTCTGTCTGAACCTCAACTCTGTTGCCCATTTCCTGGGGTGTCACCCGCCACTCTAGAGTGGGTAGAGCTGGCTTTGTGTGTCATCACTGTAGCTCTGGCTCAGGCCTGTCCTAATATCTCATTATGCCTTGGTGTCTTAAGAGTTTGAAAGGTCACTCTCCTGTGAATAATTTTGGGAATACTTTGTCAGGTGATATATCAATGCAAGTTGTTGTTCAGCTAGACTTGGTGCTGAACATGATGGTCCCTGGGGCTCTGCACCCCAGCAAAATCTGGAGGCAGTGAGGTGAAAAGGAAAATGACTTGTGTTTTGGGGAATTGTGAATTTTTTTTTTTCTCTACAGCTCAGGGTTTCCCAGTATGCGTTCCACCCTGTGTTCCAATGCAGACACACTGTTGTCATATCACATATTATAAATTTGTCACAGGATCGTTTGCATCTGGCTATAGATAGTGCCCGAGTTTAGTGTTCCATCTGAAAGACCGCTTTTCTGACGTTTCAATACCATTCCTCCAATAGTTCCCGAACTCCGCCCTGTCTGTTGCAGGCTTTCACTTCTGCTCGCTGCAGCAAAGTTGGATTTTCTTATTGAAGGGGAGAACTCTGGGGGAGTTTCCCATTTTACCTCCCATGCTTTCCATAAGCTTAATTGGAGCTTGTACAGTGGAGAACTTCTCAAAATACTGCTGGGATTAGGATGAAGTTCCAGACCTTTATTCAGGAATGATGATCAGGCCTGGCACTGGGGGAAACCAGTGCTGGTTCATTTTCCACAGTTGGTAATTCCCATCACAAGAGGTCACAACCCTCTCCTGGCAGTTTGAGAAATTGAATTTGGATTAAAATGCATCAGCAAAAGTGACTAAACCTGTTGGACTGTCAGAAATACCCAAATGGTTCACTAATGTCCTTCAGGAAATAAAACTAACCCATTCTTGCCCGGCCCATGCCTGTCCATCACTGACCTCCAGCCCATCTGCTGCTCATTTATTTTGAAATTATTTGGCTCAGATGGCAATGGATCAATGAAGGTATCCCACACAAACAATGGCTTGTTCCTACTACAGAAGAACAGTAAATGCGAGTGTTGGCAGCAGTGAAAATAGTAATCATTACTGTCAGTAGGAGGTCATAAAGGATGTTCGGCTCAATGTAATTCAGAGCACCAAGCTAGAACCATCAGATAAGAATAATTTCAGAGCCAAATGGGTCAACCGGTGCTCAGTGGGAACCAGACAGAGCCAGCCCTGGTGTGTTGGTAAGTTAGTGGAGACCTCAGCAGGGGGCATGGTTAGGGTATCAGGACTGATGATGCTGCAGTTGTGTGCTCATGACCATTGTCTAGAACGGCCTTCTGGAGTTGAATGGTTACATTAAGAGGACCGTTGGTCTAAGATTGGAGAATATTGAGTGTTTAGAGGCTGAGGGTGATCTCATCAAAATGTTTGCAATGTTAACAGGATTCAATATGCAGAGTGGATGTAACAAGGGGTAAGGTAGGAAAGTAAAAGTGCAGTACAGATTAGCCAGTTGATTTGTTTTTTAGTTATTTATTCTTTCATGGGATGTGGGCGTCACTGACAAGCCTGCATTTGTTGCCCGTCCCTAATTGCCCTTGAGATGAGCAGGTTGCTCAGCAATTCCAGACCCTGAGAGTCTGGAGTCACGTAGGTCAGACTAGGTAATGATGGCAGATTTCCCTCCCTAAAGGCCATCTGTGAACTACTTCATCTTCATGTTGCAGTTTTATTTCCATAAGACATAGGCTAACTGGTTTGCTTCTACTCTTATCAAATTTGCTCTGCCATTCCATAACATCACGGTCAATAAAACGAGCTTTCACATTGATCCTGTCAAGCCCTTTAAGAATTTTGTAAATTAAATGGATTTAAATTTAAATTAAATTTAAATCTGCTGCAGTCGAAAGAAGTGTTCTTAGAGCATTTTAGTCTGCACCTTTGGTTTTCTAGTGCAGTGTCATTCCCACTTTCCACTGTCCTCACAAGGGGCTGAATGTCGACCTCCTGTTCAATAAAACATGATGATGGGCAAGGTACAGAGAAAGCTGAAACCCCCAGTGAGAACCAGCCCCTTCAGGAACTGTATCCCAGTAAGAGTCCGCCCTTTCAGGAGCTGTATCCCAGCCAGGGTCAGCCCCTGCAGGAACTCTTCCCCCAGCCAGGGTCAGCCCCTTCAGGAGCTGTATCCCAGCCAGGGTCAGCCCCTTCAGGAACTCTTCCCCCAGCCAGGGTC